TGCTTACTAAGTGATGACATACAAGTACAGGAAGTACAAATACTACAGAAGTCCAGCTAATAAAACAAACACCTTTTACATTCTCTTAGGCGATCTGGTAAATGGATTCAGAGCATCCACCAAAACAAAGCCCAGTGTAATTTTTCCAACTTTATTCATAAAACTAAAACTTTAAATGATGCCTTTGTCTCCACTTAACTACAGTGCCTCTGACCAACGTGTCTTTATCTGTCTCTGCTTCATTTCTATAGAAACTACAACAGCGATTTATTGACTTCATTGACTCCCCATGTGCTATCCCTAAACGTCTCTCCCAGTTTTGAAGCTCCTCCTTCAGAATCAAGTTTCATCTAACTGCCCATTCCTTTACACAGGACCTCTGCTTTCCAACTAGCTTACAATTAATTTGAAATATTCTTCGTCAAAAAAAACGACAGTAAGAGACAACAGAAAAGGAAGACAGCAGAATAACAGGGAAGTAGAGATGTCTACCTTGTTATCTGTAAAAGTTAACAAAGCTGAAGACGTATAGCGAAAGATTGAACAATGAAAAAGCAGAATGAATCAGGCTGGCATGACAAAAGATTCAGAGTTAAAAAAAAGACCGTAAAGGTAAACAAAAGTGACAGAACATAGTATGAGGGCATAGATCAACACTTTAGGAAGAAAGCTTCAACCTTAGCAAGACAAAAATCTGTGGAAAGAAGAACTGAAAGGTTCATCTTTCCATAAAGCCTTTCCCTGTAAGGGAGAGGAAGTTGTTGACACTGTCCTCAGCTAACAACCATTTAGATGCAGCTACTGTGTTTGTTCCAACTGGGCACAATACACAAATTTGGAGAAAAACAAAACCAAACATATGCACACACAAAAACAAAGAAAAACAAAACAAGATTATCCACACTGCTATATATAGATGCTTGAAAGGTCAGAAGTTTTAAGAACTGGGAAAAGTCTAGGAAAAACCGAATGTGCCAATTAATTTTACAGTTTATGTATTAGCACAGTAACTCCTTGAAATACTCTCTAAAAAAAAAAGGACAAAAAAACAAAAAACAAAACAAAACAAGGAGTTAAAAGTTTATATCCTTTGTTTCTTTAAAATTGATTATCCACTTGGCCAACCACACTTTTGTTTTTCTTGCCATTTTTTGTTTGGAATAAAAATTATGCAGCACTGCCAAACAAGGAATGAAAGAAAAAAAAAATTGTTTGTCAGAGGATCCGTGTTCCCAGATAACATGAGAACAATGATGACACAGAGATAGCCGTGAGCGTAAAAAATAAAAGCATCCTTAAGAGTCTGAGGGCTACAGTCCACTTGCAGGGAAATAGTAAAATTAACAACAGTTAGGGAAATGTATTTCTGAACAAGACAGCCCCAGATATTTTGTTGATAAAAATAATGAATGAAGCAACACCGAGTTAGAAAAAAGTATTCAGAAAATAATCACTAATAATTCCCAACTTCTGTGCAGGAGGAATCGTGATACTATTAACAAACTGCACTATCCAGCCCAAAAAGCTTGTCGCAACCAAACTGTCAGAAGACCACAAACGGGGACTGTGCTTTAACCTCAGTTCTTCTACACTCCATGCAGCATTCTGGGATCAGAGCACTTTCTACCTTACTGTAAATAAACCAATTTGTACTATTTATTCATGTAAAATATAAAATTTCAAATGTTTACTAACTAATCCATATTTTAAAGATGGGAGTCCATTACGATGACACAGAAAGTATTGAAAATAATGAAAAAAAAATTCAGTGCAGAGTTAAATTTGTTTACTTTAATCACTGTTTTACCCGGGTTGGTTTTAATACTAGAAGTACTTCAAACACTGATTTCAGACTTTATCATTCTTTTTAACTATTACAAACAGCTTTAAAAACTTCCATCTCTCCTTCTGAAACATTGCCAGAAATAGTACTCATGGGATTTAATTCTATTTGGCTCAACAAGAGAAAGCTGATTAGGTTAACTAAGTTCTGCTCTAAGCAGTTGCCATCAAACAGTGGCGAAATCCCTCAGTTTCAGTATATTCAGATGATGAAAGCTTTTGGTACTGGAGAATACGATGAAGGGATAAATTGAACTCTGAAATGTTGTGAATATAATTATTTTTCTGGCTGTGTTTCCAATACCTAAACAAAAATGTAATTGGTCTAACAATTGCTCTATTTTAATTATCACCTAGCAATTGATCAAGCAAATTGGTGTGATGACTCAGAACTTTTCATAGCAGTTAATTATTATTATCAAACTGCACACATGGAAAATGAAAATCAGAGAAATCCCACACATTGAAATCTGTATCACATGTTAAACTCTCATATTCCTCTTTTCCCTTACAAATAACACTTTTAATACCAAGATACTTTCAGAGGAGGAGAAAAGGTTACTGACAAAAGGTAAGAGAAGTACTAGTTGTTCAACAGCAACAACCACTGGTATTCAAATAATGTTGAACTACTCATTCTATCTAAAAAAAATATTTTTTTGATTTACATAGTCATTACTCTACAAGAACAATAATACTGACAATAAGAACAATACTTACTGTAATTTTACTCACTGTAATACTGATCAGTATTTTTCTACCTCTAGTTATTCAAAGCCCCTGGAGACTTCACTACGCTCACAAATATTACTTGCAAATGAAAATATAAATGTCTCAACATTAAAATACTGCTTTCTTTCCCCTATCATGTAATATTCCTTCACATTACAATTGTATAGCACGCATTTCCTTCACCATACACACAAGTACTACTTTGACTACTAGAAGTTTCATTGGTAACTGACAGGAGGAAGTTCCTTTAAAAAAAAAAAAAAAAGATAATAGCTGTAGTGTCAAGTATGTCTTCAAAAGACTGAACAATCACAAAACATAACACATTTCAGAACTACGATCACACTTCAGATACTTGTTTCAAAAAAACCTCCTGTTGGGCAAATTAGAAAAGAGGTTTGGTTTTTTTTTAATAAACATTATGCTCAGGTCTTTCTACAGAAAATACATTCTTCATACTCTACATTTTAATAATGGAAAAAATGGACTGGTTTAGCAGTATGAATTAAAGGCAAAATATATTTTAATATATTCCTCCACTCAGCAACCCACTATGAAAATGCTGTGTTCACCTGTTGGACCCTATTCCCAGAGAAAAAGATGCTTACTTGGAGATGGCTCCAAAACAAAGTCCAAGTCAAACCCTCTTTAAATATTACTCCGAAAATTTCACAGTCATTGGCTCGAAGGGACATATGGAACTCATCCAGTCCAACATGAAACCTCACGTGAAGTCAGATACAATAACCAAGGCCAATTCAGGTAAACCATAGCCTCATCTAGACAAGTCTCAAAAGCCTCCAAGGATGGAGATACTGTAACTTCTTCTGAGTATCCTACTCTGGTGCTGCACTGCACTTCAAGTGAAAAGGTTTCTTCTTAATGTCCACACTGAAACCTCCCAGGTGCAATCTGTAGACTTTACTGCAGCTGCTGGTTATTGTGATTTGTCATGAATTATCAACAGCAGTCTTGCAATCATAACACTATGGGTAACATTTGACCTCAATGCACATTTGGGGCAGGGGAAGCTGAGACTAACCTGGACAAATTACACTTCCAGCTTGCTACAAAAGCATTAGTAAATTCACTTAAACGTAATTCATAATTCCCAGTCATTTTAATTGTCAGATTTACCCCCTCAGTAAAATAATGGAGGGAAAATGATAAAATTTGCATATTCTTAGCAACTGTTAATCAAAACACACCTTAAAGCACATACGTCCTTAATCCTCCTCCCATTCAGTTTCTTGCCTCCATCCAAGAACTGTACAGTTCAACTGGAACATCAAACACCACAAAGGATGTTAAAAAAATCCCATAACAATAATAAATTCATAACCAGACAAAACAAAATAGAACAAGGAAGGACAGCACTACAGCAATATAATACCTACACTACAGAGAAGAGCAAGATCAAGGCTTTACAATCTTAGATTTGAAGTATGAAGATACTGCACTTCAGCAACTTCATTATTCTCACAGTACATATGGGAGATGTCAAAGACATTTTGCAGAGGTACTCAGCAAATGCCTGGAGAACAGCTTGATCAAATAGTTACAGGACAAATTAATTTTTCACAAGTTCAGCCGTATGGGAAGGGGATCACACTACAATAAAAGCTGTTACAAATCTTGCCTTTGAACAAGTAAAAGACATCAATTTGCATACATCAGTGCAGACCTGGTCCACAGAGTGTTTCACTATTTATCATTTATTAGAAGTGTTTTGAACTGTACTAAAATAGAATACCAAGACTGTGTAAAGACTTAAAATATCTGCATCTTCTAACATAGCCCATAATTAGCAGTTATTATTTATGGACTTCATATTATAAAACATATTCTTTAAAAAGAAAGCCTTTTTCAATAAAAGACAAGAATTAACTCGGAATTCTGAAAGCAAACACACACCGTGTGTAGATTTACGGTGTGAGTTTTAAGTGCCAGGAGTACAGCATACTTAATACTGAAACTTCAGGGACTGGTTTGGAGTCCATCATCACTGAAGAAAGACATACATCATTCGCTACTAGCCCTGATTAGTTATAATCACTTCTTGAATTTTTTAAAATCTTTTTTTAGAGTTCTGTTAAGTAGATAACTACAACAGGACATAACAAACTATAGAGAATATTTTAGTGTCCCCAGGGCTTTCCTCAATAATATCTAAATACATATTTTGATGCATGTTCCTCTTCCACTTTTTCTGATTTATGAAAACAAGTGAAATTGTCTACTGGCTCCCTACAGTGAAGCAGAGTATCAACATGCACAAAAGGCAAGATAAATAGGGGCAATAGCTGTTTCCGATGACCAGAGCCTACTTCTTAAATTAGGACCAAACTCTCTACTTTTGTGCCAGCTCAATGACCTGTTAGATTGGCTCAGTCCATCTCATAAAGCTTCACCCTTAGAAAAACCAACCTACAAATGCCAGCCTAGATTAAGACAAGACAATATGCCCATTTCCATCTGGTTAAAAGATGTTCAGCTTTCCCTGGAGGAAATTCCTGTACTGAATAACCAGAACATGTGGTGACATGTGGAAAGAAGTGTATGATTCTCTAAGCGAATGCTCACATAGTCTGGCATTTGACAATGTTACAGACATAGGAGGTAGAAAAAAACCCAACAAACCAACAAAGCAGATTACACAATAACAACTTGGAGTTTTCTGTTCTCGTACTGGTACTAAAATGCCACAAAAGCCCTGAAAAAAAATACCTAAATTAATTGTTTCGCTGCAATGACATGTAATTATAGCTATAGCTTAAAAAACATGCCTATATGTGAACTAAGAAAAATTATTTCATTCTGAAATGAGAACATAGATTCAGCTGGCAATATCAAAGACTAGAAGAAACACGTGTATTACTTGCAAGCCCATGATAATTATGACGACCAATGATGTTGTAAAAATCCTAAGATATCCAAGCTATAGCCATTTTATGATTAATAGAACCTCAGAAGTCAAAGTGAAGAAAACAATAGCAATGCTAGAAAAAGCAAATTTGATCCTTCAAGACAGACAGCATGTGAGCAATTCCACTGAAGTGAACTGGACCACTCTAATATTAAAATGTTAAGGACATTTCTAACTGTCGCACAAGACAGAGGTCAGAATGCCCAGTCACTTGGAGCATCTGAAAAACCTGGAAAAAGAACTTGTGCACTATGGTATCATCCTCCACAGTGTCCAGCATCTTCCTCCCAGCATAGTGGAGATGAGAAAATCTAGACTCGTGATTCAACAGCTTCTTACATCAGGATATTTCTAAACACTTTTGTGAATCCAATCTACTGCACATGCTTCAAGAGTCTGAACCTTTCTGAACACAATTTCAGAATTATATGCATGCAGCTGCACATAATTATTGAAATTTGAATACCCAAATAGCTAAGCATCTATGTGGTTATTCCAGCATGCATATGATGATGAAATTATGCTTCTTACTTTCCCAAAATAGTCTTTAGAGAGCCTTACTTTAGTTCAAACAGTATTTTAATGCATTATTATTTCTAATTCACTCCATGAATTCTTTTTATTCATATCACATTTACTTGCTTTGACTGAAAAAGAGCTACATTTGCTCACCTACCTTGAATGCAGCTCTGGACTGCCATTGTTGTATTTACTTCCTCTTTCCCAGACACCAAAATCTGGTACACGATAGGCTCTTTCCACACAAAACACAAGATTCTGAATGAAAGACACCTACAGGAAAGAAAGAAAGAAAGAAAAGTGACTGAAGGAAAATGAAATATTTTATTTTGTTCATTTTTTTTCAAAAACACAAAGTTGTTTTTCCTCAGCCATCATAATTGTGCCTTCCATCCCTTTTTTTTCCCCCCCCAGAGAATGATGTTCCCATGGGACTAAGCATTTCCAAACAGCAGAATGGCATAAAAAAGGCAGCAGATAACTTGTTGCAACCCAAAATCTTCATAGAACAATCATTTATATCATGGGCATGTAAATGCTATAACCAAGCCAATGCTAAAGCAATTAGAGAAATGATGGATTGTGTATGTTAAGCTTATTTATCCAGAAGTCAAGCATGTGGAGAGCAGGTGTAATAAAGAATGCACACGCAGCATGGATGACTACAAATACTAGTGCTACTCTTTTATGTGTAGGTAGCTGCTCTCAAATTCATTCACTTACACAATCATACACTGTTCTCTTTGTTATGGATGCAAAGATGCGATTAAATTATTTTTTCAACTGCAAACAGATGCGACTAGAGGGTAACTCACTGACACCAAGCAGCCTAGTATACAATGATTGCCTCCTAAGCCAAGAGTTCTGTGTACAAACATATTCATGCAGCAGCTTGCCAAATATCAGCCATCTGCCAGTACCTTCCACCATGCTAGCACTGGTTCAAACCCCGCGCTCTACGAAAGGAAAGAGACTAAATACATCATGCAATTATATCATCGGAAAGAAACAGCCAACTTGATGTCTGGGTAGCAGATTGCCACATCCACAGTGCTGCCAATGCCACTATACTGAATATTATCTAGACGCATAGGAAAGCTTGGAAATACCATAATTACATGGCATTGATAAGATCTGAGAATATATTCAATTGTCGAAGCTATACAGAGACTAACAGAATGTAGAGGTCTGTGGTAAAACAATCTTAGTACAAATCTCCATAGTCCACAGATTTCTAGGGTACAGCTGCAATGAAGACTACATCCTGACATTGACGTGGAGAATATCCACTGACTGGACAGTCTATACACATGCACTTTTTCTGCAAATTCTGCAATTAAATGCAAACATCTGGAGGATAATATAAATCATAAGTCAAGCTAAGTAAATACATAATTATATCATAGAATCATAGAATGGTTAGGGTTGGAAAGGACCTTAAAGATCATCAGGTTCCAACCCCTGCCCTACATTTGCCTTGTCACAGACATAAAGGCAATTTAGAGAAAGTAATAATGACCTATGATCTAACTAAGCAAGAAAGGAGACAAGTTGCATCACTGAGTTTTCTCATTATCTAAAGAAAAAACATTAATGAAGATGTACATTTTAGAAATATAATACAAATACACTATTACTGGAAAAATCTCCCTTTTTTAAAGATAGTACTACCCTAAGTGCATTTAAGCTTTTTAAGGCAACGACTATTAAACAGACTGGATTAAGGAAATAGGAAAAAAAAAAAAAAAAAAGGGAAAAAAATAAATCTGTGCTTTCTGTTCCTGTCTCAAAAAATAACCTTATTTTAGAGCAGGGCAGCAGGTTGTCCTGACATGACTCGTCCTCAAGCCAAGGCCACGGTGGCTATTATTCTTGTTTACAGAAGCTAACAATCTTACAAACATCTCTTACCACAATATAAGATTGTTTTATTTTTAATTCAAGATACAGCAAAACTTCTTAACAACCATAGGTTCATGTGTATTTTAAGGAAGTCCTTCAGCTTTCCAGAAAATTAACCCTATTACTTACTATATTGAAATTCCTCTGGGCAGCATGCACTGACTGACTTTGAAATAAGGTGAAAATGAGAACAACATAATCAACTAGAAGTTAACTATCCTAACAGATCTTTTAATTCTTGACTGCGTACCTTTCAGAAATAGCAAGGAATTATGAAATTTTTCAATGTCATGTTACATTCACTGTTTGCATATCTAACACTCTATTAGCTATTAATTTCTTTCACTATGCATTCATTCCATTTATCTTTCCTGACTTCCTTTAGAGGTGGAGATTATCTGCAGTGCATTTCCTGAACAATTACTTTAGGGTTGGTAATTAAACAAAACCAAGGAAAAAAAACAAACTATTAAAGCATGCATTTTAACAGCAGAAATAAATTTATTTGTACCTCATCTGTGTTGTAGATAATCTGCAGCCCCGAAGAGATCATCTCAACCAAATAGAGGAGAAATAATGACAGAGCATTTATCTGAAGTAATTGAAGACAGAAAGGAGACTACACTGAACTTTATGTTTATTGGAGTCAAATAAACAAACAAGCAAGCTAAGTGTGATATTACTAACAAAGATGTCCCACTATAACACAGTTTTGGTTCTTCAAAAATATTATCCTAATCTAATATGGCAGATGTAATGATGTGGAAACAATCAATAGGAAGAAATGCCACAAACAAGCATTGTCCTCTACAACTTCTGCTGCAGTATGATTTGTTAAATTATTTAAAACTATGTTATTAAAATGTTTTTGCTTAGGTATACTGCTTTGACCCACAGGCAATCACTTTAGTCAAAAGCTCTTTCATGTTTACATGGGACAACTTATTAGCAAGCAGAGCACCAAGATGGCAAGTAGCACATTGAATAGTCCACAGCACATCTAAAAAGCAAATCACTTTATCCCTAACTAGAATTTTAGTGTTATCAACTGACAGAAGTATAATTATAACATTCAGATGTGATTATATTTGTGAATAAGACTTTTCTTTTCTAGCTGTACTTTATTAACAGTAATTATCTTCAGCAGCTGTAAAGAGCATCATAATGTCAAGAAAACCTACTTTAGTGACACAGACTCAGTATAACTGAGAATTGGTACAACATTAATAGAGAAAGTAAATTTATCACAACAGCTTGCTTCAATAAGCTATAAAACCACAATGTCAGTATATGAAATTTAGAGAAACAGTCTAGAACAAAAAAATGGGTTCTTATCTGAAACGTAACAGATTAAGGTCCAAATTCTAAAAATTCCAAAAGATTTAAAGACCACTGACTTCAGTTTCTTAATACAATCTGAAAAGCACCAAGTATGGCAATAACAGCAGACCAGCTTGTAATATATTCCCTTCTTCCCAAGTGAACCACCTCCGTTACTCTGTTTTCTGTTGTCTCCACAGAGCTCAAAACACTTTATTTTTTGAGATTTTATGATTGCATTCATGTTTATGGAAAGGGTTGAATTCCCACAAAAAACAGAGACTTTGAATTATCATACAGTGCTCCCCAGGTCCCAAAATTAATGTCTCCTCCTGCAGATAAAAAATTTGCATGCTCGAGAAGCTTCACATAGAAGTCCAAAATGCTAACTTAGGATAACTCCACAAATAATTTGTCTCCTAACATACATTTCCTGAATCCAACACATTTACTGTACAAACTATTTAAGTGATGTTTAAGTCATGTTGTCAAGATAAAATTAAATCATTATGAACCTACTGTCACTGATGAATAATTTCACTAGCAATTTCTGAACTAAAAAGAGTATATAGAGTTATGGAATGCAAAAGAACAAGGTCATGAATGCAAAAAAGGGTCTCAAGGTAAAGAGAAGGGAAAAAAAAGAGTAAATCACTTTGGAAAACTAAAGACAATAAAACAATCAATTACGCAACAAATCTGACTAGTAAACCACTACACAAAATATTGAACAACAATTTGTAACTTGACAAAGCTGTTGACAGTGTACATTAAATCTTTACTATGAATGAAAATTGCTCAGACTTATGTAAAATTAATCTCGGAATGTTAATAAAAAAACATAATATTCAATGTAAGATTACACTAAATCTTTCACTTTGCTGACTACTTCAACATTTTTTTGCCAGGATTATTTATTGACAGCCATCTGTTGGTCTCAAAAAGAAGCAACTTTGTAAACAAACAACCATCTACCTCCACAAATCCCACAGTTATTTCAGTACCTCCTGACCAAAACATACCACTGAGTTATAGTTCAAAACTGTTTTTTTCACCAAAAGATGGAGAAGGAATCTCAGTTTTATCAAGTACAACACATCTAACACAAATGTAAACAAACTGAGACAGCTGCATCGTGAAAGAATTGAGACAACAATAACATTACTTAAAATCATCCAAATTTTCATTTACATGCACATGCGTATTTTACCTGAAGGTGACCATATTCTTTATGAGACAAGACCTCATCTCCAGTATTTGCACTGAAAACAGAATGAAGACATCCAGATGGTTTGGGGTCCTGCTTAAATTGCTGAACCTAAAGGTGAATTAAAGGCAAAACATAAAATCAAAGTCAATAATTACAGTATGTTTGGCAACCAAAAATTCACTATATAAATCAGGTATTTAGAAATTTCTTGATATGTTCACTATGTAAAACTTACAAGCAACAGTTCCTGAAACTTATCGGAAATCATCTTATAAATATGTGAAGTATACATACACTTAAAGAATACAAATATTCAACTCATCTGTCTAATCTCTTTGGGTTTGGTAGAAAAAAAATCTTTAATAAATAGCTACAGATGCTTGGTAACTATCATCTTCTGGCCAAACACCACCTCATTTTAATGGAGCTGAAATCCTAGCTGAAAGCATGTTGAACCATATCGCACCTACCTTGAATACACAGATCTGATACTATCATCTTCTGGACAAACACCACCTCATTTTAGCGGAGCTGAAATCCTAGCTGAAATGTTGAACCACATCGCACCTACCTTGAATACACAGATCTGAAACATACATATAGAATCCTGACCCATAAGCTCCCAGCTGGATCACCACCTTTCCCCACCAGAGTACCATGAGTTCCAGCTACTCTCTCACATATGGGGCAACTCCCCCCTAACCTTCCTGGCCTGTCCTAAAGAGCCTGTATCCATCCATCACAGTGTTCCAGTCCCACGAAATCACAGCCCTGGAGCTGCACACAAACTTCTAATTCCTCCTTTTTGTCCCCCATGGTGCATGCATTAGTGTATGGGCAGTTCTGAGAGGCACCCAAACATGCTGATTTCCCAGAAAGAGATGAAAGCTTTCTTCTCCATAATGCTGTCCCACAGGTACCGCCTTATTTCCACACGTACACTTGGGACAATTCCACTTCAGTTAACAATTCCACTTCTGTTCACATCACCCCAGGCCCTTTGCTTGCCTACCCTGTCCACCGCTTCCTCATCTGATTGCTGAGCACTCTCTCCTTCCCTCACCGTTCCTAGTTTAAAGCTCTTACTGGAGTGCAAGAGCCCAAAACTTACGTCAGGAACAATAGTTTTAACAGTTTTTATTAATAGCGATCCATACAATTTAATAATTATTGCTGTACCATTTGACAATGTGACAAAGGTTTTAAAACAGAAAAAGAAATTGTTATTATTAATAATAATTTTTAAGCCTTCTAGGTTACAGACCTACAAAAGCATTCAGAAATTCTCACATGTATATCACATAAATGAAAGGCTGCAAGAGCTAAGAATATCTAGAACAAAGGAGTACATGAGGAAATAAATATTTATTTTGGTGAGCACAGTTTGTGACATTCAGATGTACAGTGAAATGTTTACAGATACTGGAAGGCAAAGCTGACAGCTTAAAAAGACAACATAAAGATCAGAGATAGGAAGAATAGTACCACAGATTATAATGACTTTTTATTCATGGACATTATCACTGGACCTCAGAATAAGCCCTTATGATACAGAATCTCTTACGATGGAGATGGAATGCAATAAGATTAATTACTAATACAAGAGGTTAACAACAAAGGGGTGAAATAAGAACTATGGTTGTTTTGAAGCAGTTTTGATTTCTTTTTCATCATGGAATACATCACCTGCTACCTTACAAACAATCTAGACTGTCAGAGAGCTGCCATTAGCGCAAAGAAAGGAAATCAAATTCACAAAGAAAAGAATGAAGATAATGAAAGAAGATTCTTCTCCACAGCTCCTCAAGTCCTCCTATGCTCTGCAACAAACAGTTTTTGAATTTTCTAACCATCACTGCCAGTACCTGGTCCACATTTCACAATATTTTCAACACTGATCTTACCTTCATGGGATATTCTTCTCCACCAGCAAATTATACATAGCATATAGCATGTGCCCCAGAAGCACAGAAGTGAACACTATTTTGTGGAGTTATCATGTCTAGTTCACAAACACATTCAACACATTTTAGGTCATAACTCATTAGCAATGGAATATAACATCTGTCATTTTTGTCACAAGCAGCACCATCTATTTAAGTAAAGCCTCAGCATTGTAGCACACATAATTCATATTATTAAAAAATACCCTCCTTCTACATGAGGCCAGCACATAGAGTCTCTCAGAATAAAGTCCAATTTGACTTACATCTGCGAGGTACCAGAGATTACTTACTACATTGTAAGAAGAGAGAAGCATTTATAGCAATCAAGGCAAAAACCAACCAACAAGTATGTCAGCAGTGTGACCCCTGTGTTAACTCAACACTTGTTGTTCATATCTGAACTGATCATCCTCAAAGAAACCACTGCATGTGAAAGAGAAAAAGAATACCTCAAAAGTAACAACATCAATTTAGATTGAGATCATTTAAAAACAGAAGACTACAAAGAAACAGTCCAAGATGACCAAGAAAAAAAAATGCCATGTCAACATAAATACAACTGGCCATACCCCTGATTTGCTGATTATTATTATTACTGATATCACATGCCTACAGACTCTACATTTCAGTTTGTGTGCTCAGAAGTGATCACAACTGGCCATACCCCTGATTTTCTGATTATTATTATTACTGATATGACATGCCTACAGACTTTACATTTCAGTTTGTGTGCTCAGAAGTGATGGAAGCTACGTGGTAACATGAGAGGTTTTTTTAATAATACAGTTAAAAGTCACTGACATGAAACTTAAAATAATCAAATGGACTACAGATATTCAACTACTGGTGGAATTACAGCTAACCACTATGCAAAATTAATTCACCACATCTAAATCTTGATAACAAGAAGCCCTGAACACTCAAGAATATTCAGGTTATACTCACACGAGGACTAGAGACTGAACATATCAACTGTATTATAACGTAAGTAAATTACCGTTTCCTTATTCATTTTGGATTGCTGCCCTTCTAAATTTACGTCATTAAGATAAAGAATACTGGAAGTGGCTGCTAAAGAAACCAAGCAAAATAAAAAAATTGTACACATTCAATAACCAAGGCAATAGTGCAAAGAAAACTCTCCAGCCTTAGCTAAAAGAAATGCTGCATCTTGCCATATAAGCATTACCAAAACATTTAAAAAAACCCCAATTACTTACAGTCTAATGTTTAAATAGAAGAAATAACTTCAAAAGGAACCCAAAGAAGTTCCGAGTATGCCCCGCAGTTTACTTCGCAACATGCTCATGACTTTTATACCCTAAAACAATGCTGCAACCTGACAGTAACAAAGCAGCTGTTCTTAGCTGAGTCACACAGTAGTACTGCATTCCCTTTTTGAATTTTATCTGTATTTAGAAGTTAGTTTTCACAAATTAATCCCTTAGTATTGAGTGCTGGTGTCCACAATAGAGTAATTTACCTTATCAGCCTGCCGCATGTAGCAGTACAGAATCCCTCTCATGCACTTTATAGCAGAATGCTCCAGCTCATGAGTCCTTCCCTTGTCATCATCAATACGCCTGTGCAAGAGAAATAACTCATAAAACAAATTGACAGTGCACTGGGGCGGAGGCGGAAAAAGGACAAATTACTGCTTTGGAATATTACACGTGCCCACACTCATATCAACATACTTTAGCCCTACCCATCCTTCCTTACTAAAAAAAAGAAAAAAATTGTTTTTAGTTTATATTGCAATTTACAAACATTCCTAATTCAAAACTTAAAAAGAAAAAAATAAGCCTTGCTGATATTATAACACTGAAAGCCACTGTTCTGTATTCTTTGAGAGATCCAAAACACAAAGGCAATTTCTCTTTAACTCTACAAAGTATCTGTCATTGGTAATCAAGCAGCCTCTTTTCTGATGATATTGATAAAATACAGCTGTGCATACAAGACTCTGAAAATTAACTACTCCAAATGTCCAGAAATGTGTTTCAAGATCCCTTAGTATTTTTATACTGTGCAATCAAACAACACAACTATTATATTACTAAATGTATAGTAAAAACAATGACAAATCCAAAGTTACTTTAACTACAAGAAATGTATTGTGTGCAAACAACCTTGATCATTGTATTCATGCATTCTGTCTTTTCCAGTTCTCAATTTTTGATTGAGCCTCTCCTGGTGAAAATAATGTTTTCTTACATATCTGTCACTTTCAATACCATGACTCTGATACAAATATGCAAACCAGCATAATGAGCTCACTGCTATTTCTCAGACCACTTTATAGCTGTTACTAATTTGATTACAGGTAAGCAGATGATAACTACACTGCAAATGAAGCATATCCTTTTCCACCATACTTTATATCCTAGTAGTTTATGCTGAGGTTCTGCTGCCTCCACTGAAAATTAGGAAGGTAGTGATAACTTCAAAAATCACACACATCCAAGAATCATACTATTTAAATAATAACCTTACATATAAGAAATGTACTTGCTTTCAATTATAAAGTTCAAACAACGGGGGGGGAAAGCAACCCCACAAGAAAAAAAAACAGATAATACAAAATTTATGTTAAGAATTTTTGAGCAGTAGGATTTATTCTCAGCTTTATCATAAATCCAAAGAGCAATAAGAAGCACATGTAAAAGCTCTGAACTTTTCATGTTGCATTTTTCCTCTATTCACAACAGCAGTGTTTGTTTCCTTAACATGCTCTCAAGAAATTTAGCTTTTATGAAAATGAATGGTAGCACTGGCCTGAGTCAAGCACAGCAACCTACATCTGGTAGATAACACAGCCTTTCACATGAGTCTTGTATCTTGGCTCACTTTAGATTTTAGCCATTCGCTTAATTTCAATCATCAACCTTTGCCCACCAAAGAAAATTTGTTGCACTGCACCTGAAGTGCAGGGCCCTGTTCTGAGCATAACTGGAAGTACCACAAGCTGTTTATATTGCCACTTTGCCCTTCCTTCAAACCGCTACAAATCTCATATATCATCTTCCATGATTCGACATATTAGAAATTAAAGACTGAATAACTCGGGCAACATCACGACATACTCTCTTCTATGAGTTACTGAAAATTCAAAACAACCATCCCTGCCCCTTCTATTACTCCTTCTAATTTTTTTTCATTTTTTTTTGTTTTCAAATGCTTTTATTTCAACAACAGAAACATAAACTAAAAGAAAGATGCAAAGATGTAAGAAATGAAAGTAATAATTACACATTCTGAATGTTAATTTCCCTATAATTTTTGATAGTTTCTCAAAATTTTGAAAGACATTAGATCTCAGGCATGGCATCTCCAGACATAAATACAGATCTATGTATGTCTTTTTCAAAAAGCATGATTTTGTAACAACATTTCCTAGAACACAATTTTAATAAATTTTTTTTTAGATATTTTTTTAATAACAGTTTTTTCAGGTTTTTTTTTCTGGTGTCAGAGATATAGAACCTAAAGCAATAAATGGAAACAAAAACGAAACTAAAAACTTTTTATCTGCTAAGTAGATCATCTTTACTTCAACAATAGCTCCCCAGATTATTCCTGGCCCTTCTGTAAAATATACTAGAATTTTGTCCAAGAATGTGATTACTACCTCAATAAAAGAAGTTGACTACTGAAAACAGTAAATGATTCAATATTTGCACACCATCTTCTTTCTTAAATACACTGCATTTCAGTTATCACCACCTCTCTCTGTGTTTTCCTGGGTGGCTGGGTAGCAAGGTTGGAAGGAAGGAATACTAAATCTCACAAACCGGTTTCCATAGTTATTTGTCCTGACGCACAGAGAATTATGAATCAATGAGTATGGAAGGTAACACACCCCTAGTTCTTAAGGTCATACCACACCACACAAATTCCTAACCTACTCCTCTAATGAGTCAATAGCAGAAACGGAAGAAACAGAAAATAAGATCTAACAACTGAGACTGCCCAGCCCCTGTACTAGCGAGGAAGATATAGTCACTACTATTTCCCATTTCTCAGCATTCAAGGATTCATTCCCCTGTGAGTACCTGGATTGTTAGTACCTGCAACACACCTGCTTCTGCTCTGAACTCTCCTACTACATTTAAAAAGAGCAGTATTCCTTACATACAGTTTGCCACGATAACCTTTATTTTTAATAGCACACATTAATTCCTCTGTTTCAGAACATTGGTACCAATTAAATTATATTAAAACACGTTTACTTGGCGAAAGTATAGTGACAATTTTCAACTTAGTAGCTACATAAATATTTTTATTGAAATTTGGAAATGTACCATTTCTGTGGATTTAAAAAACTATTCTTGATACAGCTTCAATTCTTAAAACATTCCCAGGGTACTGCATAACAGAATGTAACATGGCAGAGATGTGAGTTTAGAAGTTACTCACCTGTAAGCAAGGGCTAATGCCCAGGCACATGCAGCACAGTAAAGACTGTCATGTACTTTTGCCCTTCGGTTATCGCCATATGTCTTTGTAGGAAATAGACCTGTGGTTGGACTTTGATGAAGCAGCAACGTTGACTTAACTGGAAAAAAGAAAAAATGGTATTAACAATACCTACGTTTCTTCCAGTTTCTACATAGATTTTCAGGAATAAATCAAGATGTGAAAAATCTGTTAGAGCATGCACAATGTAAAATCAGAAGAGAAAGGTAAGGAGGGAGACACATTAAAAAAACTGTCATGTTGGTGTTCCAGTTAATATAGATCCTTTTCACAAGAAAATCAGTATCCATCACCATTTATATGGCTCTGTTCTAGAATAACCCACTCTGTACAGAATCTCTACAATGCAACCCAGCATTTCCTGTGGGGGAATGGGGAAGGCTACAGTATGTCAACTGCCCCCCTCCAGATAACTTAAATAGTTAAACTCCGCAGAACTATACATCCATGCGTTATATTATCACAGGAATCTTATGAGGAATTGTAATGAGAGAAATCTTTTCAGAAAATAAAAGTCCTTATTAAAGACTGCAGATATTATTTTAAGACAAAGATATTTTAGTAAGTTACACTGAAAATATTTCATGGTAGGAACAATTACTAACTCACCAATTCTGTAATAGTGATCTAATTTATCCCACAGACTTTCCCCCTTTGGTTTTGGAAGATCAATACTTTTAAGTGGCTCATAAATTGAACCTAAAAAAAATAAGAGAAAAAACAAAATCAAGATCAGAATTATGAAAATAATTCTGCTATTGCTAACAATTACTACAATAATGATTTTCTTTATGTTTGTTACACAAAGGCACAATTTATCAAACTTCAAAACAAATTAAAAAATTGTAATTTCTATAATCTCAGAGAATAGATTTCTATACACATTTTTTCTACAGTACCTGTCCACACAAACACAACCTCCCATCTGGATCTCAAATTCCTTGCAGATACTGAGCTACAGAAAATGCACGGTTTAATTATTTGACACAGCCTATTAAATGTTAAGAATTTTCTAGGAACATTTTCTAGAAATTAAGTATGCTACAGACAGACTTTGTAAAGATATGTAGAAAAACAGAATGAAGAATGATAAAAATAGCCCAAACTTAACTATTACTTCCCTGTCTGCTTTCTAAGACAGTGAACATGTACAATACTATTAATGTTTTACCTATCCTAACCTCATTGTCTCCCTCCACTGCAATAAGTCTAGCTGATTTCATGTCTTAAATCAAAAAAGGGATAGCTTATTCTCACATACTACCAAACCTTAACAACCTATCTAACAGATAAAGCCCCCAAATTACCTATATTCCAGAGAAATACAATGCTACCAAATCCACATCTTTCCTTCTCAGTGTCCCAAATACTGACTGCTTCCCCATTTCCACCTGAACAGTCTGTTTTCCTGATAGCTGAAATGAGGCACCTATCAGAAAGACACCATTTCTTAAAAATTACTGGGGTACAAAATTTACAGCTTTTAATTTAAGAGTAACATACTGCACTCCTTCCAAAAATCACTCTGGCTTTATTCAGTGTTCTGGATGGCAAGATCTCCCACATAGCCATTTGATAACACGAAGAATGAGACCTTCCCCTTTCCGGCCTGCAGGATGTCCTTCTGAAAAGCTCAGAGAAATGAACTGCCAGGGCAGCCCAGCCAGCCAAGCAGTTCTGGCAGGATGCAACAGAGTGCTCCTATTTAAGTTGCCTCTTTTGCACTCCCAGCACATATCCAGGCATTAGACAGGAGATTGTCCACATACAGGACTCTCATCCAAGCAAAATTAATGTGTGTGGCGTGGTGACAGAGGCTTGATTAATCAAGTGTTGTGGTGGAAAGACTGAAAAATGTTTCCTGTCCCTCAGGAACTCAAACCCCACTCCCCAAATTGCTCTGGAATTGTAGCAGTTAAAAAAAAAAAAAAAAAAAAAAAATCCACCCCGTCTTGAGCAGACTCCTGTGGGTCTGCTGTGCATGGATTCTCTGGTGACAATCTGAGCTTCCCCTACAGCCTTTCCTTTCCTCTTTGGGAGAGGTTAAGTTACAAACAACATGTGCATGTGGGGAAAGGGCCTGAGAAGGAAGCACAGAGAGCCCAATTTATTTTAGTTGACTAAAAAACCAAACCTAAAAGAAATGAAGTTGTTCTGTAATGGAAAAGAAAAGCTTGTAATATACCACACCTTTTGTATCTTCTGTTTAAAAATCAACATTCTGAACCCAATTTAAATAAAATTTTCACAACAATTTTATTTTTCTACTCGTTTTTTGCCTAGTCCATTAGAATCTGTTATTTATATTGTTATACCATTAATTCAGCTATCTTGCAAAAGCGCACAGAACAGTGACCTGCAGTAACTGTAATTTTATAAGATGATTCGGTGAAAGTAGGACAGAATACATTCAGTAAAAACCTTCAGTAAATCACTTATTGCATAAAAAGTGGCAAATTTATGAGAAATACTTATTATATTTTCAAAGGCAAAATAAAGATTCTTACTCCTAGACTTGTTAACTGTACAACACATACACACACACTGTTCTTTGTGTGTGAAAAAGGTTCAGAATGTCTGTTTCTTGGAGGCTGCTAACCCCAGTACTGCACCATGAAAAGCAGTTGAATATTCACAGGTACATACTTATACACACAAGTCAAAAGTTTCTAAAATAAAATTGTTCTAATTTACATACTTACCAGACAATCTGTGACCCTCTGTGGCCAACAGAGAAACAAAATAAAGTTATCATGAACAAAAAGCATATTCTTCTATTTCAGAGCATTCAAAGATTTCAACTTTGTGCAGAAAGAAGATTGAACAGAATAAAGACCATGAAAATGCCAAAGCACCACCATCTACAAATTACATTCTTTCACATGTTTGAAATCTTACTAGCAGAAAGAAACTGAAACAGACAGAGTAGAGTGTTGGTGAAACAAAAAGGTGAAATGAATTCAAAGTTCAAGAAAATTGACAAAAAGTAGTTTCATGCCTTGAAAGTATTCCTCAGAAGTACTCCTACTGCAAGTAGGATAACTTGATTTTGGGTGTTCCTTTAAACAAAGTTTTGCACCTACTCCTCATTAATTTCTCATTAGCATCTATGTAAGTTAAGTTTTGCTTGGGTGCCTACACCATTCTGCTGCACTGATCCTGTGGTAAGTTATGTTTCATTACTATCACAATGTAATCAAAAGCAAGAAGCAGACATGACAAACATCAGGCGAGCTGCTCCTTCCATGTGGTTTTGTAGTGAGACCAGAACCCAGTGGAAGCTATTTTTAGGATAGCTAAAAAAAGCCTATCTATACTCTTCCCAAAATCTATTTAATAGTTCATTTCAGCAAGACAAAAACCTGCCATAGGAAGCTATTTTGAATTACATAATTAAAATAAGCTTTCAAACTGAAAAAAATTACAGCAGCAAGAGTCTGCAAGACTTAAACATAACAGAATGACATATGCAAATAGTACCCCCGAGTTCTCAGTCTGTACCTTAGCATTCAGAAGAAACAGAATGAACCCATTAACTTCAAATACTATTTTTCATAAACATCTCATTTAATTGTAACCATACCAAGTGAGTTTTATTAGGTAAATAAGTACATGGGCTAGGAAGGAACATAAAAAAAAACATTTTGTTGATTTAGGATTTCTTGAGCTGTATACAAGTATACCAACCCTATACAAAAATTAAATAGGGTACATGGTAGTTCAGATTTTCTTCCACAAAGAATGAACTATGCCCACTATTTCCTAACATCAGAAGTGGATTGCTGCAACTAACTACTTCAAAATCACTAAAAAACCAAACAGATAGGAAGTCAAAGTGTTGCTTCCAGCATTAAAATATTTAATGTCTGATATGAGAACACTCAAAATCTTTATCCCAAGCCCAATTAAATCCCTGTTTGTCTTCAGATATTGCACTGACCAAATACACTATATCCATATTTCTAATCAAAAAGAAATCCCTTTTCATTTCCTACCACTCACAGGTTCCAAGGCAATACAATTTCACCATTCTTCAAACTGAAGAATTACTAAAAAGGATAGTAACTTTCTTTCAAAGTATCAGAGAACAGGGAGAAATCTGAAACAGGCCAATAACTGGCAACAGAGACATCAATTACTAGTGTAGAACTGAAGCAACAAACTAACAAGATATTTCTGACTTAGCTAAGACATGGAAACTATAAGAAAACATTATCCAGGAGTTGAAACGCAAAGGTACAACAACTCTGGAAAAAACTTACAATTTAATTCTCTCCTCTAAGCAGAATACAAAACTGAAGGAAATTAAGGGAACCTCTCTGAGATAAGCTGCTGGCAGTGTAAATACATCTACACACAACCTCTGGAGGCTGAGAATATCGTCATCCTGAGGTTAAAGTACTTTCCCATCCTCTTTATTTTTATTCCAGCTACCTGAAGATCTATAAACTTGTCTAGATGTTTAGATTTAAAAGCTATGGCCAATATTTTGATACTCTGCTTCCAAATTTATTTATATAGAACCTCTGAACACCCACACAACCTTGAAGATGGCAGCAATTGCAGATATTAAAGAAAAACAGGCATCAGAATGGAATTCTGGACCTAGTCTATGAATAAAGATTTGCATATTACAACAGGGATTAATAATTCAAATTTTCCAAAGTACAGAATTCAAAAAACCCATCAGGCTACCAAACATCCCCCCTTGAAGTTTAATCACAAACAAATGGAAGCAACATATCAAGAATTTTATTTCCAACATTTCACATGCCAGAAGAACAAAATAAAACGTTTACTTGCATAATTAGATCAGAATAGACCAAATAAACAAACAAACAAACAAAAAGCTGAGAATACCAGATTTCTTTCCAGATTTGACAAGAATAAAAACTGACACAGCCCTTCAACGTGAACCTAGTTCTGAATGTAATCCAACACTTGAAACATCAACAAGTTCTCGATCTCAGACCACAGTAACTTTCATTACCCAGCACTGGTATGGGCAATAACAACTTCACATTACAGAATTCATTGGGACCAAAGAGGATTTTATTTCTTCACACAGAAAAGTTTAAAAAATGATATCATATGAACAAATACTATCCTCCCAACATCACATTTGCTTTCCCTCGAGACCTCTCCTTCGATCTCTCCTGAGCTGAGACTTAATACAGTACTGGAGAGAAACACAGTTGAACACAATGTGGTCTTATTCTAGTAGCTGTCTGCCAGGAAATACATCTGCTTCTAAGCCCAAACACATGTAGGTGAGCATGGCGATATCAGAAACTAATTTTCAGAAGCACTTTCACTAGAAGGAAAATTCACTTCTCACCTACATAAATATCTCAACTCTGATTCCACGAACCTAACATGAGCCAACTGTGCTGTTGCTGATGAGGATTTTTAATCGCTACACATAAAAGGAAACTATAACCTCATAGCTGAAGTTGCTTAGAGAAAGAGGCTGGACAGATGACCTCCTAACATCCCTTCCAAACTGAACTGCTCTACAATTCAATGAAAGTATGGTAAAGAAATCCCTGGAGAGCGGCTGGGGGAGGAAGAAGAAACAGGTATGAAGGTATTCCTCCATTTGAATAAACCTTAGGAGTAAACCCAACATACAAAGTGTTACCTAGGTTGAGTGATGATAACAACACTGGTAAAAATTACTAAAATCTTGTAACCCTTTCATTTAAAGAGTTTTAAAGTGACAAAACTTTTCAACTATCATTTATCAAGAAAAACCATGTGTTAGACTGTGCAGCTAATTCAATTAGAATTTCATGGAAAAAAAAGAAGTATGTACCAATTTATTTTGTCCTTTCTCTATTTCCTAATAATCCCAAGTGATTTCTCTCTACAGTACATTATACTTAATGGAAATTATGGATTTCAGGATTTACAGTAACTAACAACACACAGAAGTTACTAAACACATGCAAAAAAAAAAAAAATTATGGTCATGCCAGCGCACAGGAGCTTCACATAACCAAAACACATCAAAACGCCACAGTCTGCCATGCAAGCCTTGTAAACGCTACAAGCAAGGCAGGAAACCATTCGGGATATTCAAGGGAGTCATTGCCATTTCTGAGAACTCAAAACTCCTAAAAATGTTTATTTCGCATCATAACAACAGAAACATCATGTATCAATATAATAAGCAGGAAAAAGTAAGGGTTTTTATTACAATGTCAGCACTTCACATGTCCTTTGACATTATGAGAGGCAGAACTGAAATGCCGCAGGCAGGGCACGGCACTTAAGTGACTCAGCTGTGGCAAGGGACAGCTGAAATCCCCTTACCTGCTTACTCTCACTAGCACTTGTACTGCTTCTGTGTTTCAACACAGACTGAACAAGAGTCCTATACGGTTTTCCCCAGATCAGCTAGCTTCACTTATGGACACATTTGTTCCAGTCAAACTGTCTTCAACCTATATTGAGCTAACACAGTAACAGTCTTGACAGCTTCATATACTCTAGCTTCTAAGGGGAAGCTGTGCCAGGGGGCTTTATTTTGCTTCAACTTAATTTCCAGAAGTCAAGCTTTGCAACAATGACTGACTGATTGGAAATTTACTTCTTTTCTCTAAACCAACCACGTCGACTTTTTTTTAGGAATTAAATCTAAATGCTATTCTTAGTGCACCTTTCATATGACCATCATCTTAAAAGAGAAATGTCAGTTCGGAGATGGTTACGCTGAGAGCTACTTACAAGAACATATAACACAAACAAAATGGGAAGATCTGAACAGCAGATTTCAATCTAAGTAGATTTCAATTTTCAGAAATTTTCACTCAAAGAGCTCAAATTTTTAAGTTCTACTGTACAGTAGTAAAAAATTGCTAGCACAAAACACTGAACGAAACACAAAACACGCAATTATTTTTTGTTGAGTTGAATAGCCACAAACAAAAACAAAACACAGAACTGCACACTTACCAAATTTTAAAAAAGCATGCGCAGAGGAGGTTCTGTCATCATCCAAATTGGCCATTTCAAATTGGTGCAGCTAATCACAAACGTCACAGGCTAAGCTACAGCAATTTTCAAAACCATTTAGTAAATGTTAGAGGCAACCAGCATTAAATTAAGTGAAAGCAATGTTAGTTGAGTTATTAACATGACACAGTGCACAGCACAAAGGGTAGTAAAGTTTCATTACATTTTATGTTTCCCTCTTGTACTCTAAAAATTGGTTTTATTTTGCTTTTACTTCCATAAAACTTAATCTGAGTAAAATGACACAGTCTACACAAAGTCCATCTTTTGGACATTAGAGAGTAGCTGCTATTCAATACAAAATTTGCTACCAATATCAAAAAGCACTGAATAAAATCTATTGGGTCTATTTCAGGATTAAATAAAAATACTGATTTAACCAGTGCATATAAAAGTGTTAAGTAACAGTAAGCATGAGGAGCTAAAATTCTGCTTATGCATAGTGCTGCTTTTATCCCATGTGGAATTTACACCAGGATGTTTCTTGCGGTGATATATATTCCTTATGGTACTGAATATCTCAGTTATTTGAAGTAGAATATCTTCCAGTTTGGAATGTAAGATATGAAAATACTGTTTATAACTATGATTACATGTTTTTTTCAAATCTTTAAAGAAGTTTATGTTTAAATTTTAAAGTAACCAAAATTTCAGGGGTTGAAGACTGGCCAACTACTGAATTATCTTTATAATCTGCTCCTAACTGCTAATTATCACAGTAGCAATGAATGAAACAGTGTTTCATTGCTCAAGGAAAGGAAAGAAAAAATTCTCAATAAAATCTTATTTTTCTGGCAAGAATGTAATTCATAATGTAATATACATAAACACGAAGATATGAATTACCTCCTACAGGATAGGCTCTTAAATTATACTTTGCTGTTGGCTATAAAACATTACTCATGCATTTCATGCAGATGTGTCTATATTGCATGTTTACTATATCTTACTCCAAGCAGCAACTGAAAAAAAAACCCCAAAACAAACAGTACTGTCTGTAAACTGGGAGTCTCCAGCACAGACCTCAGCCAATTCAGAACAGTATGGGGGAGTTTAAGCCACTTTCAGTGACTATACCAACCACATCTCTTTCTGAAAGGAAGTAAAAAAGCTCTGAAGTTATATAAGTTTCAACACACTTATAAAGATGCAGGAGTAAATTTGAGAAACAAGAACATGATTTTAATTTTTAGATAATAATGTTACCTGAAAGATTATATATTAAATCTGATTTTTAAATCAGCTCCTTTATCAGAAGAGCATTTCATCCACAATCATCTTTACATCTTCAGTAAATATATTTCTTCAGTTACTATAAACATGACAAAGTCTCTATGGACAGGAAAAGAAGGAAGTGAACTACAATAATAATCTGCCCTTATCACAGAAGACACTTCCTTATACATTTAGTGAAAAAGGAGAAGGCAGCAGCAGATTATTATTATTCAAAATAATCCAAATGCTTTCTGCAGTAACAGGGCCTGAATCTGCATGGGAATCCCAAACTTAGCATGCTGCCTTGTGCCTCAGGATTCACATACTCCAAACATACAGGTTCCAGACTTTATTTTGTAGAGCTCTATGGCTACACTTGTAAATAAATTCTCAGATAAGAGTACTGTGTAATCATAATTGGCCACAAAGTAACAACTCGTTTCCTGGATAGTCTTAATAATGGTATTTTGCAAATTAATACTATACATAAGTAGAATTTTTAAAGCCATATGAATCAGAGTAGTCTTTAATCAATCAATTTTCTTTATGAGAGCCCTCATAAAGCCCCATTTTCTTTTCACATTGCCTGATCACTCATTATCACAATAGAACCAATCAAATATGCAAATAAGGAAATAATGATTGAGTTTTACAAGCACGTATGACAAGTAAACAAACATCAGAGGGATCATCTGGAAAACTGTTTCCATTAGAACACTAACAATTAAAGCCCTGTAAAGGCTGTATTTTATTTTTAAAAATTTAAAAACCAGGCTTCTTTGAACTTTGAAAATTCAAGCCAACTCAGCAAATTCATTTAAGCCAGAATGTAGCTGCCACACAGCCCAAACTTCAGAGCAAGAAATTCTCACTTTAAAAAAAAAAAAAAATAATCTTCATCCAAGGGCAACCTGGCAAAAGCTGCTGCTTTCCTACAAGCCCCTGCCATTTTAAAAATACTTCATCTCTTCGACAGCTGCCTAGAGCTCCAGCAACCACCAGCAGCTCCCTTTACACCTCTGCTGGCAAATGACACCTGTAAATCATCTGAAACCCTCTTTCCCCCCCCCACCAAAGTGCGAGCGCG